GGAAATTGCCATCCTTACCTGGTCTGGCCTACTTGTGACTCCAGACCCACAGAAATGTGGTTGACTCTGAACTGCCCTCTGGGGAACAAATCTGCACAGCCAGTGACGCCCTCATCCCGTTAATGAATAAAAACACCACGCCACCAAGCACTCTATTTCTTTGCTGTATTCTATTTCGTCATTGTTTGATATCTCACCTGCAACGGTGATGTTGTCAGCAAACTTGCAGATGGAGTTCGAATGAAATTTGGCCACACAGTGATGAGTGTACAGGGAGTACAGTAGGGGGCTGAGTATGCCCCCTTGCAGAGCGCCAGTATTGAGGATTGTCGTAGAGGAGGTGCTGTTGTCTATCTTCACTGATTGCAGTCTGTGGATCAGGAAGTCGAGGACCCAGTTGCAGACAGCAGGGCAGAGACCCAAGTCTCAGAGTCTGGAGATTAGTATGTTTGCGATTATAATGTTGAGGGCGGAGCTGTAATCATTAAGTAGAAGCTTGATGCAGGTATCCTTATTATCCAGATGTTCCAGTGATGAGTGTAGAACTAGGGAGATGGCATCTGCCCTGGAACTGTTGCACCGGTAGGCAAATTGCAAAGGATCTAGGAGGCCTGGGAGGCTAGAGTTGATATGGGCCATGAATAACGTCTTGAAGAACTTCATAATTATGGACGTCAGAGCCGAATGTTGCAGGACTGGAAGATTTGAGTTATAAGGGGAGGCTGAATAGATTGGAGTAACACAGCGTGGAGCTGGAGGAATATAGCAGATCAGGCAGCATCAGAGGAGTAGGAACGTTGACATTTCAGAACTGACCCTTCTTCAGAACCGACCCGACCCGAAACGTCAACTTTCCTGCTCCTCTGATGCTGCCTGGCCTGCTGTGTTCCTCCAGCTCCACACTGTGTTATCTCTGACTCCAGCATCAGCAGTTCTTACTATCTCTGAATAGACTGGGACTTTTTTTCCCCTGGGGGTTTGGAGGCTGAGACATGACCTTATAGATGTTAATAAAATCATGAGCATGGATAGGGTGAATAGTCAGGGTCTTTTTCCTAGGGTAGGGGAGACCAAAGCTAGAGGGCATAGGTTTAAGGTGACAGGGAAAATATTTAAAAGGGACCTAGAGGCAACTTTTTCACACAGAGGGTGGTGCGTTTATAGAATGAGCTACCAGAGAAAGTGGTGAAGGAGGATACAATTATAATATTTAAAAGGCATCTGGTTGGGTATATGAAAAGGAATGGTTTAGAGGATATGGTCCAAATGCTGGCAAATGGGACTAGGTCAGATTGGTATAGTTGGTTGGAGCGGAGAAGTTGGACCGAAGGGTGAAGACAAATAAGTGCACCTCCTCCACAATAACACTCTCAACACTGGAGCCCCCCAAGGATGCATCCTCAGCCCCCTACTGTACTCCCTGTACACCCCTGACTGTTTTGCCAAATTGTGAACGAATGCCATCTACAAGTTCAGTGAAGACACCACTGTAGTAGGACGGATATCTAACAACGATGAGTCAAAATACAGAAGGGAGATAGAGGGCTTAGTGACATGGTGTAACGAGAACCTCTCTTTCAACATTGGCAAAACTGAAGAACTGATCATTGACTTCAGAAAGAAAGGAGAATATACACCCATCTACATCAACAGAACTGAGGTTGAGAGGCATCAAAGAAGGCACAACAATGCCTCTTCATTAGGCAGCACAAGAAATGTGGCATGTCCATAAGGACACTCGCCAACTTCTACAAATGCACCATTGAAAGCATACTGTCCGGGTGCATAATGGTCTGATATGGCAACTGCTCTGCCCAGGACCGTAAGAAACTACGGAAGGTGGTGTGCACAGCCCAGACCATTACAGAAGCCAACCTTCCATCCATGGACTCCATTTACATGGCTCGCTGCCGTGGAAAGGCGGCTAACATCATCAAAGACCCATCACACCCCAGTAATGACATCTGACAACCTCTTCTGTCAGGCAGAAGATACAGAAGCAAAAGCAAAGTTGCTGGAAAAGCTCAGCAGGTCTGGTAGCATCTGTGAAGGAGAAAACAGAGTTAACGTTTCAGGTCTGGTGACCCTTCCTCAGAATTGATGGGTAGCTGGAAAAACGTCAGTTTATATGCAGAAAATAGGGAGGTGGGTGGGGAGTAAACAATAGGATAGAGCTCAAATAGAAAGACAGTTGGACAGACAAAGGAGTTGCTAACACTCAGGCTGAGATGGTGAATAGAGATAGTAGGAACTGCCGATGCTGGAGAATCTGAGATAACAAGGTTTGGAGCTGGATGAACACAACTGCAGGAACAGCATCTCATATTTCGCTTGGGAACCTTGCAGCTCAAAGGTATCATTGTGGACTTCACAAGCTTCAAAATCTCCCCTCCACCGACCGCATCCCAAAACCAGCCCAGCTTGTCCCCACCTCCCTAACCATTCCTCCTACCTCAAGCCCCAACCCCATCTCCTACCCACTAACTTCATCCCGCCTCCTTGACCTGTCCGTCCTCCCTGGACCGACCTATCCCCTCCCTAACTCCCCAACTACATTCACCTTTACTGGCTCCAACCCCGCCTCTTTGACCTGTCTGTCTCCCCTCCACCTATCTTCTCCTCTATCCATCTTCTATCTGCCTCCCCCTCTCTCCCTATTTATTTCAGAATCCCCTTCCCCTCCCCCATTTCTGAAGAAGGGTCTCGACCCGAAACGTCAGCTTTCCTGCTCCTCTGATGCTGCTTGGCCTGCTGTGTTCATCTAGCTCTACACCTTGTTATCTGGGAGGGTGAGTAGTTGTTAAAGGGGAATGTTAGTAACTAACAACAGTGGGTGTGTAATGGCAGGCTATGTGGTAACAAGGCCTGGTGTGTGGGGTGGGGGGCTGGGACACGGGGGAGTTTAGGCCCTAAAATTATTGAACTCAATATTGAGTCCGGAGGGCTGGAGGGTCCCCAAGCGGAAAATGAGGTGTTGTTCCTCCAGCTTGCATTGGGCTTCACTGGAACAATGCAGCAAGCCAGAGACAGATGTGTTGGCCAGGGAGCAGGGTGGTGCATTGAAGTGGCAGGCAACAGGTAGTTCAGGGTCTTTTTTGCGAGCAGAACGTAGATGTTCTGCGAAGTGGTCGCCAAGTCTACGCTTCATTTCCCCAATGTAGAGGAGACCACATTGTGAGCAGTGAATGCAGTAGACTAGATTCTGGGAAGTGCAGGTGAATGTTGCTTCACCTGGAAGGTATGTTTGGGCCCTGGGATACTGGGGAGGGAGGAGGTAAATGGGCAGGTGTTGCACCTTTACTGGTTACAGGGGACGGTGCCGTAGGGCTGTGGGGAGGTGTTGGGGGTGAAGGAAGTGTGGAACAGGGTGTCCATGCGGAAGGCGGACAAGGGAGGGGAGGGGAATACGTGTCTGGTGGTGGCATCTCGCTGGAGGTGGCGGAACTGGCGTCTGATGATCTTCTGCATGTGGATGGTAGGTGAGGATAAGGGGAACCCTATTGCTGTTGCGGGAGGCAAGAGAAGGGGTGAGGGCGGAAATGCAGGAGATGGGTCGGACCTGGTTGAGGGCCCTGTCGACAATGGAGCTGGGGAATCCTCGGTTGAGGAAGAAGGTGGACATTTCAGATGCTCTCTTGTCAAAGTTGGCCTCATCTGAACATATGCAACGGAGATGGAGGAACTGAGAGAATGGGATGGAGTCTTTACAGGAAGTGGGGTATGAGGATGTATAGTCTAGGTAGCTGTGGGGGTCAGTGGGTTTGTAATGGATATTAGTGGCCAGTCTATCCCCAGAAATGGAAACAGAAATGTGGAGGAAGGGAAGGGAGGAGTCAGAGATAGACCAAGTGAAAGTGAGGGTAGGGTGGAAATTGGAGGCGAAATTGATGAAGTTTTCCAATTCCAGATGAGAGAGGGAAGCAGCACCGATGGTATCATCGATATATCGGAGAAAGAGTTGTGGGTGGGGGCCGGAATAGGACTGGAACAAGGAATGTTCCACGTACCCCATGAAGAGACAGACATAACTAGGGCCCATGCCGGTACCCATGGCAACCCCTCTTACCTGAAGAAAATGAGAGGACTTGAAAGAGAAGTGGTTGAGGGTGAGGACAAGCTCGGCCAAGCGGAGGAGGGTGGTGGAGGGTGGGGATGGTTCACTCTACGTTAACTCTGTTTTCTCCTTCACAGATGCTACCAGACCTGCTGAGCTTTTCCAGCAACTTTGTTTTTGTTCCTGATTTACAGCATCCGCAGTTCTTTTGGTTTTTAGAAGATACAGAAGCCTGAACACACGCACCAGCAGGTTCAGGAACCGCTTCTTCCTGGCCATTATCAGACTGATGAATCGACTCTCTAGCCTCAAAAATAACTGCTGATCTTGCTAACTTTGATCACGCCTAGCGCATGCCCTGAGAAATGTAACCTGTATGCATCTAAGTCTTAGACAACAAGGTGCAGGGCTGGATGAACACAGCAGGCCAAGCAGCATCATGGGAGCAGAAAGGCTGATGTTTCGGGCCTAGACCCTTCATCAGAAAAGGGGGAGGGGAAGGGGGTTCTGAAATAAATAGGGAGAGAGTGGGAGGCGGATAGACACCCTCCTCCCTCCAGAACCCACTGCATCTAAGTCTTTCTGATCTGTACATCTTTTGCTTACTATGATCTGCCCGTACTGCTCATAAACAAAGCTTTTCACTGTATTTCGGTACATGTGGCAATAAATCAATCAATCAGTCAATTTGTCCTGACTCTTTAAGAAGCAAAATCCTTCGAAACTAAAATTTTGGCATGTGAGAAAGAATAGTTGTAGAGCGCATGCCCATTGAATACAGGCCCCTCATGGGCAAGGGGGATTCTGAGGGCAATCGTGCCGCGCTGCATGCTGGGAGTTGTAGTTCCGTTTGGACCGACGCAACCAGGAGATCCTGGAGACAGTGGACTACATCCCCCGGCAGACGGTGCGCGAGACCGCGCCTGCGCGTTGCTGACCCAATGCCGTTACGCCACGGTCAGTTTTGCCAACATGGCGGCGACGTGCTGAGGGTTAGAGGTACAGAGTCAGAGCGAGAGAGAAAGAGGAGGGATGGTGGTGGAGGGTGGACGTTGCGGCCTCTGAGAGGAGAGACGGGCACCGGAAGAGTTTCCAGGGACAGGGAGCAGGAGAAGCTGGGATCGGGGCCTCAGCTCAAGACCCGGAGCAATGGAGAGGCCGAGGGTGCAGCAACTGCTGGAGTTCAGAAGGTGAGAGACTCAGGACCACACCGACTTTAAAACTGGCCGCAGTGACCATTAAACTGGCCACACCGACCTTTAAACTGATCACTCTGACCCTCAAACTGAATACATTGAACCTCTCACTAATCACACTGACCAATAAAATGATCACACTGACCCTCAAAACAACTACTCTGAGCGCACTGGTCTTTGAAATGTCCATGCGAACTCTTCAGCTGTTCACTGTGACCTTCAAATTGACTACAGGGTCCACACTGACTCTTAAACTGGATAGATTTAACCCGCCAAGCATCCAGGACTGTTCATTTTCTATATACGAGCACCTGTTAGTTCTTAAATTCTCTGGGATAGTGTCTGGCCAAATGCTTGCCTTGGTACCAATTTATGTTGTCTTACTTTGACATGTTTAGTCTCCCTACTGCCATTGCAAGCTGTGTATTTTCACACTCAACAGAATTTCTGCTGAACTCTTTGACTTTACTTCCTGACCACTTGACATCACTCTGTGCCTCTGGACAATGAAATACTTGGTCAGTTAAAGTTTAAATCACAGTTTCCCATTTTTGCACCTTAATCTCGCTTTACCCTGAATACAGTCACACTGAAATGACTATAGGATAAATGTAAGAATGGAAATAAATGCATGGCCAGGCACAGAATTTAAGTTGGCTCCGTTAATTTGCAGGAAAACCCAAAGTAGGGATCTTGCATTAGGTACTAGAGATGGAACTTTTCTAAGCGTTTAACTTCTAAGAGCAATTTACCTGTGACTTCCCCATCTGCCACCCTCTTTCCATCCCTTAAGACATTATGCGAAGTTCCTGAGTATCTTTCTTTTGCATTTGCAGGTTACCTACAGATGGCTTCATTCTTGCCCTTCTTGTGCTCTATGCTCCTTTCGGGATCTGTTTAATGCTTCTCAGGATATTTATTGGCCTTCATGTTTTTTTAGTCAGCAGTGCTCTTCCAGATGGCCTTTTGCGAAGGTAGGTTCTTTTCCCCTCCTCCGTGTCCTCCAGTCATTCTCAATTAAAATTAAAAACACAGATGGAGTCCTTAGGGTTTTGTTTTAATTTTTCTTTACTTTTTAACAGATGGGTATTAAGTGATGATCCACCAGGATTGGGTGGGAACGATAGAGTGAAAAGAAAAGAGGTTTAATTTGGAAGGTAGAATTGGCTGATGATGGTAAAATGGAGACATTACCTAGAATGTATATGGTAGAACCAGATTAACAGCCTGACTAGCCTGCACTCCTTATGAGCCCTCCTACCTTACAATATCTAATCCTACTGGTGTACCCTTCTGTACATTTTTCAAAATTGTGTTTAACTGACTTTCCCTGAAATATACCTGAGTTTCAAGTATCTCTAGAAGAAGGCTACAGTTCCCTTGAGATAGAAGGCAACAGGTAAAGTCACTACGTTGCACACATGTTGTCTACCTGTTTTACTGTGATCTGTGCCAATATGTAGAAAATATGTAGATTACTGGGGTTCAAAAAGACACAAGTGCCGAGTTGAGAAGTACAGAATTCTTAGATCTGACAGTATTTGTTTAAGACGCTGTTTCCCCTGGCTGGACCATCTAGACAAAGGGGGGTACCCATTTAAGATGAAGATGAGTGCGTTTTCTCATTCACCGGATTGTAAATTCTTGCACTTCTCTACCTCATAGAGATGTGGTCGTCATATAATTGAGTATATTCAAGACTAAAATAAAAGGAGTCTAGGGATATAGGAACTGTGCAGGAATCTGGAGTTGATGGAGGAACTCAGCATGACCATATTGAAGAGAAGAGCAGGCTTGATGATCTCACACTGCAGCTATTATTCTTTACATTGTAATAGTATGTGTATGGGTATTGGCGGAATATCATTGTTGCAACTCACATTGGAGCAAAAGAGCAGCTCATCACCACCTTACGCACCACTCAGGATGAGCGTCCATAATTCGAGGATAAAGAACCCGTGTTTGTGTTTGTGTCCTTCAGATGGCGGTGATGAGCTGCCTTCTTAACCCACCAAGGTCTGTTTCGTGTCGGTACGCCCACAATACTGTGGGGGAGGGAGTTTCAGGATTTAAACTTATTTAACTTTGCCAATATCCTGCACTCAGAGTCTTTGTAATTCATTTTGGAATAAAATCTCCATTTCAGTAAAAATCTAGTTAATTTTCAATTTACAAATAGGATGAAAAAAGAGGACTTTTGAAATTAATTTATGGGACGTAAATTTTCTTGGCTGGGGCGGCATTTATTGTCCATCCCTCTAAGTGTCCTGGAGCAGATGGTGGCGAGTTACCTTGAAAGCTGCTCTCTAAGGAGCCCTAGGGACTTTCTGCTATGTATCTTTTAGATGGTACAGACTGCTACTACTCAGTGTTGATGATAGACGAAGTGACTGATGGAAGATGCAGTACCAATCAAATGGGCTGCTTTATCATGGGTGGTGTCAAGCTTCTGGGCTATTGTAGGAACTGCACTCAGGCAATTGGGAAGTATTCCATCACAGCCCTGACTTGCGCCTTGTAGGCGAAGGACAGGCTTCGGTATGTGAAGTTGTAAAAGGGGAGAATGTTTATTAAAATAATACAAAATGTTATGATGCTTTAACTCTCGCTGCACCTTGCAGTGCTGTAATGAAGTAGGGCTGCACTGTCTGAGGTGCCATCTTTCTATAAGAGATGCTAAACCCTGTCTGCCTTTGGCTAAATGTGAAAGATCCCAAGGCACTATTTAAAAGAAGGAGAATGGATTTTTCTCTGGTGTTCTGGACAATATTTATTCCTCAAAGAACATCACTAAAAATCACAGCAAAATGCTGTGAAACTTGGAGCTCTGAAATAAGCACAGAACGTGCTGGAGAAACTCAACAGGTCATCCTTGGATAGACAGATTTAATATTTCGAGTCCAATGTGACTTCTGACTATCATTAAAAGTCATTTGCTTGCAGTATTATTATTTACTGTTTGTGAAACTTATTATAAGCAAAGTACATCTCGTTTTATAAATTATAAAAGTGACCTCATTTCAAATTCAGAAAGTCATGAAAGGTGCTGCAGGAGTATGTCTTCATCCTCTAAAACATGGACATCTGCCTTAAGTCGCAACTGTGCTGTTCTCTCAAACTCAAATCACACAAGTTAGACGCAAGATAGTGATAACAGGAATCACTGGAAATATGTGACAGCTGAAGTGGTCAGAAAAACGTCAGTATTTTGATTGTTAGAACAGTTTCTCACAACCATTAATCTCTCTATTGATGTGACGGCGCCAGGGACCCGGGTTCAATTCCAGCCTTGGGCAGCCATCTGCATGGGTTTCCTCCCACGTCCAAAGGTATGCAGGTTAGGTGGATTGGCCATGCTAAATTGCCCATAGTTTCCACGAATGTGGGCTGAGTGGATTAGCCATGGGAGATACAGGGGTAGGGTAGGGGGTGAATCTGGGTGGGATGCTCTTCAGAGGGGAGATGTGGACTCAATAGGCCAAATGGCCTGCTTCCACACTAGGGATTCTATAACATTCTCTACATTTTTTTCCCATCTTTTTTTCTCTACACCTCATAGTAGAAATGCTAGAGAAAACTGTCTTAAGTTGTCAGGGTGGGTGAGGGAGGAAATGGTGCATGGTGCATTGTGCCAGTGCCACCTTTTATCTCCCTTAGACCCGTACTCAGGGCTGTCCTTGTCTCATGAAGGAAATGGCAGCTTAATGTTTTGGGTTCAGACAACGGGTGACCTCCTGAAACATTGACCTATCTTTTGTCTTCAGGTGCGGATGGGTCTGCCTTGTTTTTTCAGCTTTTTCTGTCCTTGGTTTATAAGTTTATACCGTAGAGGCATGAACGCTTCCAGGCATAGTTCACGTGGAGATTGATGACAGCTTTGGATCTACCAGATCTGTGCTGGTATGTATTTTTAAAGCATGTTAGAGAAGCGGTAGTCTAATCCTATTTATACATAGCAACTTTCACTCTCTTCAGATGTCCCAATGTTCTTTCCAACAACAAATTAGCTATTAAAGAGTCACTTCAGCATATGCAACAGTCAACTTACACTTAACAAAAACCCACCGACACAATGAGATGAATAAAAAGAAATAACTTCTATTATTAGTAGTATCTCTCTGGACTACGAGCCATCCAAAATGTTTCCCAGTCCACGTAGGGAATATGACAATCAATTGACACACATCAAGCAGTGACTAAGTAAAAGTTTTTTTAGAAATTGAAAGAACTGCGAATGCTGTAAATCAGGAACAAAAACAGAAGTTGCTGGAAGAGCTCGGCAGGTCTGGCAGCATCTGTGAAGAAAAGATCAGAGTTAACGTTTCGAGCCCGGTGACCCTCAGAACCGGTTCTGAGGACAGACCTGCTGAGCTTTTCCAACGACTTCTGTTTTTGTCTATGTAAAAGTGTTTTAAATCCTTGTTTGAAGGTTAGGTATTAGGTAGAGCACCTGCCAAGCTCTTTCCTTTGCAAAATAGTGCACTGAAATCTTGTATGTCTACCTTGATATAGCATATCATTCGAAAGGCAATCCTCCCTCGATACTGCAACGTTGTTACCTTTTGACTCTGTCCTCTGAGTTGTGGCTGATGGATCACTTATTTGTTATCTGTAAAAATGGGATATACCCCAGGTGAAAAAAGGTGGCATCGTGGAAATTCCAGAAACATTGTGCAGAGTGTGAAACTTTTGTAATTCTGAGTTGTTAGCATGGTCAGTTTGGGTGATTGTAACAGCCAATCCAGGTTGGTGAAAACAAAGCAAGCTCAATAGGGGATGTCACGTCAAACAGAACATGATATCCGGTCATGTTCTGGGTGGTGAACAGGTGAGGCTGATGTGTTTTATTCTGCATGTCATTGTTCTTTACAGTCACTTTGAATAAAGTCAGTGTACTACAAGCAGCCTTTGGGTGAAAAAAAAGTTAAGGTGAAGCTGATTAATTCAAATCAGTGCTCCAAATTTTACAGAACAGGAATGACTGCAAATTTTTGCAGAATAGTGATAGCTGTCTGTTAGCTAAGTCTCCACATGAAGTATATCATGTGCAAGGGGATTTTTGTTAAAGATAGTGTCCACGACTGAACAGCATGTTGGTATTCCCACCTTCTTTTCATTTGACAAGGGAGCTGGGCCTACTGCTCGGAGCTGAAATTTTTCTTATTGTTTCCAGGTGACTATAAGCCAGGCTGAAACTGACAGTATTTATGACAGTGGGTACCTTGTCTTTACAATTTTACAAACCAATTCTAGTACTGACTACAATCATACACATAGTGCGTAGGGTCCTATGGTGCAGTGATCATGTCACTAACTGTGAAGCAGAGGGTCCGGGTTCAAGTCCCACCTGTTCCAGAGGTATGTAATAAAATGTCTGAGTAGGTTGATTGAACACCAACCGGTAGCGCTTGGCTCATGCTCACCTTTGACTAGGTTCACTGAACTTGGTAAGTGATTGTGGTCCTATTTCTATATGTATATTACTTGTTTCTGATTTAGTTTAGAGACTCTGAACAAAGCGTCAGAGCCACAACTGTACCCTGATGTTGATTCCTGATGCTATTTTGTTAAAATCTAATCTGACATTGTGTAAGATTTTCAACATTTGAAACTCATGTGTTTGGTTTTGAAAGCTCTGAGGAAGGGTCAACGGACCCGAAACGTTAACTCTAATTTCTCTTCACAGATGCTGTCAGACCTGCTGAGCCTTTCCAGCAACTTTTGTTTTCGTTTTACTCTTTAGCAAACCTCTCAAGCTCCTTTCTTCCCTCTTCCTTTCTCCTGCCAGATGCAAGTTATGAAACGATGTATTATCTAACCACTGCTGCTCGATCATCTCCATTACAATCTCCCACTTTGTAATTGTGAGCCTCTTCTCTTCATCAAAACAAAATTCTGTGCTCTGATAAATGACGAGTTTATTTTCAATTTACCAAAGTGCTGGAAGGTGACTAAAAAGGGCAGAATGTCTCTTAAAATAATCTGATACGGTGCATCAGTTCATGGCCTTGTGAACCACTAATCCTAGTGTGAAATCAACAGAATGTAGCACTGTCAGAAGGGTAGTCTTTCAAATGAGCTGTTGAAATTGTCTACATTCTTAGCTAAGGGAGCCCTGGCTCTATTTCAAGGAGCATAGTATTGCTTTTTGGTGTCCTGGCCTCAACAAACAGCAAAAAAAATTATTATTCTTTTGTGGAAGCTTGCTGTGTACAAATTGCCAGCCAATGTTTCTTGCATTGCTGCACTAACTTCTTTATAAAGTACTTCATGATTGTAAAGCAGTTCTGAAACACTGAGGTTATGAAAGATGCTGTATATAAATGTCATTTTTTTAATTTGCATTTTCAGTTTCAGTCTTGTATTCAGTAGAGATAAGGACAAGGCCAGGAAACAATGTTTACCTTGTAAATAGCTAACAGCTGAGCTAACAGAGGGGGAGGCAATGGCCTAGCAGTATTATTGCTGGATTGTTAATCCAGAGACCCAGATGACATTCTGGGGACCTGGGTTCGAATCCCGTCACGGCAGAAGGTGGAATTTTAATTTCAATAAAATATCTGGAATTAAGAATCTAATGATGGCTGTGAATCCATTGTCGATTGTCAGAAAAACCCATCTGTTCACTAATGCCCTTTCGGGAAGGAGACTACCATCCTTACCTGGTCTGGCCTACATGTGACTCCAGGCCCACAGCAATGTGGTTGCCTCTGAACTGCCCTCTGGGCAATTTGGGATGGGCACTAAAAGCTGCCTAACCAGCAACGCCCTCGTCCTGTTAATGAATAAAGGGTTTGTCTCGCTAATGTCCAGTTTTGTGACAGGGTATCCCTGATAGAAAGAAACTGTATAAAAATTGTTTGTTATTTAAATTCTAAGTAATGTTTATAACTTCTGCCTTTTTCTGGATCATGCAGGGTTATCGTGCGGGCAATGTGCACAATTCTGGGTGTAATTGTTTTACAACGTGGTTCAAGGCATCGAGATAAAAATATCAAAATCTACATCTCCAACCACATCACCCAGTTTGACCACAACATATTGAATTTCCTTACACCCTGTCACACGGTAAGCTCAAGTATTATTAAGCAAGCTTGTATGTGTATTTACTTGTATTTGCATAACACTTTGCTAACTGCTGGATGTTTGCGCCAAACACAAAGCTAGTTCTCACAGTTTGTTGATTTGCTTTCCTTGTCTCCAAATCCTAAAAAAGAATCTTCAGGAGCAGGAAAGGACAAGTGAAAGAAAACATTCAAACACTTGTTCATCTCATCCCATAGCCCCTCCCTTCAGAAGTGATTTCTCTGTTTGTTTCACTGGTCTTATCCAATTCACCTGTTCCACATTTTCTAATGCCCTTTTGGTGAAAGTGACCCACACCCACCTTTACCCTCACCTCAGCCTTCATTTTTAATGTGTAACTTTCTTAGCGTACATTTTGTCTGTCCTGGAATTTGAAGTCACTCAGTTGAGTTCCTCGGCTTCGTTGACTAATTTCCCTTGTAAGCTTAGGACAAGTTGGCTGAAGACAAATTTTGCCCAGTTTGTGATGTGTTTGGTCAGAATGTTGCTTTGCGTCTGATGCTGGAACAATGTATTCCTGAAGCCAAGAATTAAGAGCAAGAGTAAGCCTTTCAGCCTCTTTGAACGTGCTGCACTGTTCACTAGAATTATTGCTACTTCATGTACATCTTTCCATATGATCCCCATGTTCCTTGATTCTTTCATTATCCAAAAATCTGTTAGTCTTTGAACTGTGTAAACGCAGCCGCAGACTAACTGGAACAGTAGGCAGTTCCAGATATTTACAGCACTCTTAAGTGAAGAAATATCTCCTCATCCTAGTCCAGGCAATAACCCATCCTGACACGATGGGGCCCTAATTCTAAACTTACCAAAGAGGAAACATCCTCTCAGTGTGTCAAGACTGCTTAGAATTTTGTACGTTCCTCTCCTAGTATTGACATTTCCACCCTTGGAAAAAGTCACTGTCTACCCATCCTATCCAAGGTCACCTTTCAGCTTCTGATGCTGTTGCGAAAACAATGCAAGTTTGTGCAACCTCTTCTTGTAACGGATGCATTTCAATCCAGGCAACAACCTGATAAAGCTCTTTTGCACCCTCTCAAGTTTCCACATCCTTCCTATAGTGTGGTGACCAGAACTGCATACAGTACTCCAAATACAGTATAAGCTGAAACATGACTTGCCAACTTTAATATTCGGTGCCCCAATCAGTGAAGGCAAGCAAGCCTTCTTTACCACCTTGTCTACTTGTGTTGCCATATTAAAGGAGCTATGGACTTGCCCTCCCCAAGATCCCTCTGTATATCAATGCTCCTAAGGATCCTGGTAGCCATGATGAGGAGGTGCCGGTGTTGGACTGGGGTAGACAGGGTCAGAAGCCAGAGGTAATAGTCCAGTAGGTTTATTTGAAATCACAAGCTTTTGGAGCACTGTGCCTTCATCAGGATTTGTGGATTTGAACTATAGGAAGAGGCTGAGTAGGCAGGGGTGTTTTTCTGCGGATCATTGGAAGCTGAGGAATGACCTTATAGAAGTTTTTAAATCATGAGGGGCATAGATAGGGTGAATAGCCAAGGGCTTTTTCCCAGGGTGGGGGAGTCCAAAACTAGAGGGCATAGGTTTAAGGTGAGAGGGGAAAAATTTAAAAGGGACCAGAAGGGTAACTTCCATACAGAGGGTGATGCGTTATCAAACAAGCTGCCAGAGGAAGTGGTTGAGGTGGTTACAATTTCAAGATTGCAAAAGGCACCTGGATGGGTATACAAATACGAAGGTTTAGAGGGATATGGGCAAAATGCTGGTAAATGAGGCTAGGTCAGATTGAGATGTCTAGTTGAGACTGAGTTGGACCGAAAGGTCTGTTTCCATGCTGTATGACTCTGATGCTCTCTCTTGGGTGTTCTCTCTCTCAGGTGCTCTCTCTCTCTCTCTCTCCCCCTCTCCCTCTCCTTCTCCTCTCGGCCCCTGTCACTGTCTCTGTCTCTCTCTCTCTTTCTATCTCTCTCTCGGCTGCTGGCCCTCCCTCTCCCTCTCGCCCGCCGTCTCGCACACACGAGGTAGAAAATTACCAATAATTCTAGTGAGTAGTGCAGCACGTTCAAAGTGGGATTATTGTGAATAGGCCAGTGGGCTCAATGGGCCAAAAAGCCTCTTCTGTGTTGTATGACTTAGTGAGTCTCCACACATTAATGTTTTTCTGGAATCTTACGTAGGCTAGACCGGGGAAGAATGGCTGATCCCTTTCCCTAAAGGAACTTAGTGAACTACGTGGATCTTCTGGACAATCAAGACTGGTTACATGCTTGCTATTATGCCAGCTCTCTATTCTAGAATTTATAATTCAAATTCCACCATCTAATATGATTTGAACTGATTTCTTCAGAATATTGCCCTGGGGTTCATGAGTGATATAACGTATACATCATCACCTTCCCCAATTTTGATTCATAAGGTATCCCATTAAGAGGCTAGTCGGTTATGGTTTTGTGTGATCTATCATTGTATCTCCTAAGTCTTCCTTGCACTTTTTAGACAAAAATGTGGTTCACTGGTATCTGCAAGTTTAATACTTTTCCCATCTCACAACCAAACAGGGTGCACTTGTTTTGTATCATAACATGTTTGAGGCTGTATCTCCTTTCCCAGTGGTTTGAGAGGTTATCCAGAGACATGTGTGATAAACACCAGTGGTTACAGGTTGGTTAGGTAGAATCTGGGCATTATTTTCTAGTCTCTTCTAGTATTGTTCCAACATTCACATCACAAAACTCCAACCCCATTGATTAGGTGTTCCATATTGTTATGATCACAGCTGATGTTATTAACAGACAAGTCAGATCCTCGACTGAAACCTGACTTTATAGATCAAGTTGTTTTTAACGTAATGGTCTTTCACTGAAACAACGCAACAGAAGTTTAGTAACCAAAGAAATGTTGAAATAAAATAAACAAAACTATCTACTTTTAACACATGTTCAAAGATTTCTAAGTACATAGTAGATGTACAATCACATCAATCCCTAAAACATTCCTTTATAGATTAAGAAAAACAACAGTCTTTCTAAAGTACTGAAAATATACCTTAACATACCCAAAAACACAGTGGCTAATTGCTAATAGTACTATATCCCAGTGGCTTCAAGAGCAATGAATAATGAGCAGAATAGCATCTTGCAATCTTGCACTATTAGGTGAGTCAGCATTTGGGAAAAAAAGGAAGCTCTGTGGTTCAGTCTGTGATTCTTCACTTGGCACCTCAGTATTAGCCCATTAGATGCATTTTGTAGTCGGTATACGGAAGCCTTTGTTTCATATTCTGTGTGAGTTAATTTAGCTGTTTGTGTTTAGCCCTTGCTAGAGGGACATTCCGGCTTTGTGAGCTGGGCCCGTGGATACCTGGAGCTGGGGTGGTTGGACAACCGGACACGCTTGGCTGAGGCACTCAAACATTACAGCTGTCTGGATGGAGCACGTGGTTTGCTGCTTTTTCCAGAAGACGAAACCACCAATGGAAAAGTTGGGCTTCTGAAATTCAGGTACAGTTCATAATTCATCATATTTAGAATGTAGGGACATAGGGTGTGGTTCATTTAGGGAAATAGGGAGAATTTTCATTTATAGAGTGCCTATCATAATCCCTGGGCATCCCAGAGCACTTTGTAGCCAGCAAGGGATTCTTTTGTTTTTGACTCGTAATGACTATTCAAAGAGAACATGACAGCCAATTTCCACACAGAAAGTTTCCCAATGAGCAACATGTTTACAATTATGAAATTGTTTTGGGACTGTGTTTAAATTTCAGATAGACATTAAGATGGTCATGTAAAATGCTCTGAAGTCATCCTGAGAGTAAGCCTGGAGTCAGCGTGCCAAAGAAGTCATTGGATTTGAATCGTTAACTGTTTGTCTGTCCACAGATGCTGCCAGACTTCCTGAGTTTCTCTAGCACTTTGTTTTTATTTCATATCTCCACCAGCCAAAGTATTTTGCTTTTATTATGGATTTTCTTCCTGACGTTTTTCCTTTTTAACTCTGTTTCGATGTTTGAAAATCACTGTGACGCCAGGGCTGAGAGAGTGGCTGAGTGAAAGACCCATTTTGAGGAATGTTAAAGACCAGACCAAACCCCCTCGAAACATGTCAGTGAGATAGCCTAGATCTAACTTTTTCATATTTTAAAGGCCAGATGCAATTTGATTGGTCAAACTACCAGTCTTGAAGCAAAACATTTATTCATACACTACAGTTAAAATATAACGAAATAAAGAAAAATTGGAATAACACAACTCTACTAGAAAACTTAACAGAATAATAGATTATTTAAAGACTAAACAGCAACTGTTCCAAAATAGTAACATTCCATAAACACACCCTTGGCAAAGGCAAATTCAGTAAAATAGATTGTCTCACATGCAATCCTAGCAGCAGAAAGAGAGACCCCAGCTTTTAGCTGTAACAGAGAGAAGAAAAACAGCTTCCACATCCAGCTTCAAGACACCAGCAGCAATTACTACTCAAAGCTAAAACTAAAAATCCTGGCTCTGTGGTAGCTTGACCCCACCCATTCAGGCTGCTTCCAACTTTAATAAAAAAAAACAAGGTGTCAAAAGCTGTTTATTTCATTGACATTAGAGCAGACTGCTCATCACCTGTATCTCAACCTTTCTTCATGTTTAAAAAAAAGGACAAAATACACTTTTAAAGCCATAGTGTCATCGCTGAAGGAAAGGGCATTTTTTCAGGATAGGAATTATAGCTCCAAGATTGGCCTAGTATTGGAATCCCTCATTGCAGAAAGGAAGATTGTTGTGGTTGTTGTAGGTCAAGGATATCTGAGCAGGAGTTCCTCAGGATGGTGTCCTAGATCCAGCTATCTTCAACTGCTTCATCAATTACTTTGCCTCAATGTAAGATCAGATAGTGGGCTTGGGCTGAAAAGTGGCAAGTAATACTCGCGGCACGTAAATGCCAGGCAAAAACCAGCTGCAGTAAGAGGCAGTCTAACCATTGCCCCTTGACATTCAGTTGTTACCATCACTGAAACCCCCCCCCTCCACTATCAACATTCTGGGGTTACCATTAACCAGAAACTAAACTAGACTAGTCATATAAATACAGTGGCTACAAGAGTATGACAGAGGCTAGGAATCTTGCAACGTGCAATTCACCACCTGACTCTCCAAAGCTTTTTTTTTTATTCATTCATGGGATGAGGGGAGTTGCTGGCTAGGCAGCATTTATTGCCCATCCCTAATTGCCCAGAGGGCAGTTAAGAGTCAACCACATTGCTGTGGGTCTGGAGTCATACGTAGGTTAGACCAAGGAAGGATGGCAGTTCCTTCCCTAAAGGACATTAGTGAACCAAGGATGCGTTTTTTTCTGACAATCAGCAATGAATTCACAGTCATCGTTAGATTCTTAATTCCAGATATTTATTGAATTCAAATTCCACCATCTGCCGTGGTGGGATTCAAAGCCGGGTCCCCAGAATGTTATCTGGGTCTCTGGATTAACAGTCCAGCGATAATACCTCTAGGCCATTGCCTCTCCTTGTCCACCATGTATGAGGCAAGTCAGATGAGTGATGGAATACTTCACTCTTGCTTGGATGAGTGACATTTCAACAAGCTTGACCCCATACAGAACAAAGCAGCCTGCTTGATAGGTACCACATTCACAAATATTCACTCCCCCCCACCACCGCAACTCAGCAGCAGCAGTGTGCACCACCTACAAGATAGTTCCTTGGCATCTTCCAAACCCATGACCACTTCCATCTAGAAGGAAGAAAGGGCAGCAGATACATGGGAGCATAACCACCTGCAAGTTCCCTCCAAGCCACTCACCATGCTGATTTGAAAATGTATATCAACGTTCCGTCCCAGTCACTGGGTCGAAATCCTGGCGTTTCCTCTATAACAGCACTGTAGCCTACCGACAGCACATGGACTGTAGTGGTTCAAGAAAGCAGCTCACCATGGCCTTCTCCAGGGCAACGAGTGATAGGCAGTAAATGCTGGCCCAGCCAGCAATGCCCAGATCGCATGAGTGAATTTAAGAGAAAATGAAATGCAGCGGTTGTTGCCGCTCTAATTTTGCAACTGTTTGAGAAGCCCTGTATTACAAGAGATTAAAGGTAGGTTTAGGAAGATCTGTTAGAAAGAAAGTGCAAGAAACCTTTGTGCTAACATCAGATACTGAGAGTCTGCAAAACTCCAGAAAAGTGTTGAGAATGTCAGATTGTAAAAGGTTTCAAGCTGCCATGTGAGAGATGCAAGAGAGTTTGGCTGTTTAGCTCTTTGGTTCATGAGCCGTTCAACCTAGATACAAAACTCAAATTGTAATGGAGAGAGATGCACAGATCAGATTGCATAATTTTGGAGTCTGCGTAAATCTGGGAGGGAGCATGTGGAGTTCCAACAGTCTGTAAATGGAAATTCATGCTTGGATTGAAAAAGCCAAATTCACAGCAAATTGAAATGAATGGTTCAGAACAAACCCTTGGGTGCTAAGAATTCCTTTAAATTGAATCCAGGAAAAATGAATAAATACGTAAAAAGGTGTTGTGAAATATGCGTGAGGAAAATTTTTTCACTTTATCTTAGATGAAAAGTTTTGTGTTTTAATAGATAAGTTGCCAACAAAGATAGCATTTAGGTCATTGTATCTATTGACATTTGCTTCAGTAAACGTTTTAAAATGGGAAGTCCTGATGTGTCATTCTGTCAGGTGTTAACTGGAAGTTCAGAATTCATTTAAAGAGTTACCAGTCTCCATAGGGATCAACAAACTAGTAATGATCAAATGATGAAGGGTCCTGACCCGAAACGTCAGCATTCCTGTTCTTTTGATGTTGCCTGGCCTGCTGTGTTCCTTCAGCTCCACACTTTGTTATCTCTGACTCTGCAGTTCTTGCTATCTCAATGATCAAATTATCTGCTTTACATGTTGAGATCTGTGTTGAACAGGACACTGGCAAGAACGTACTTGATAAATACTGCAATGGATTCTTTATATGCACAGGCATTTAGAGGGAATATCAGTTAACTATCTCATCTGAAGGATGGTAGAGTCATAGAGTAATACAGCATTGAAACAGGCCCTTCGGCCCAAACTGGTCCATACTGACCATTGTGCTATTTCAGCTAGTTCCAATTGCCTGCATTTGGTCCCTATCCCTCTAAACCCTTCCCATCCATATACCTGTCCAAATGTTTTTTAAATGTTGCTATTTTATCTGCCTCACCACTTTTTCCAGCAGCCCATTCCATGTGTGCACCACTCTCTGTGTGAAGAAGTTGCTCCTCAGGTTCTTCTTAAATCTATCACCTCCCACCTTAAACCTATACTCTCTAGTTTTCAATTCCCCATCCCTGCGAAAAAGACAATGTGCATTCATTCTACCTATGCCCGTCATGATTTTATACACCTCGATGAGGTCACCTCTCATTCTGCTATATTCCGAGGAATAAAGTCCTATCCTTGCCAACTTCTCCTTATAACTCGGGCCCATTAATCCTGGCAACGTCCTCGTAAATCTTCTTTGCACTTTTTCCAGTTTAACTATGTCTTTCCTCTAACAGGGTGACCAAAGCTGTACACAATACTCCAAGTACGAACTCACCTCTGAGAAAGCAGAACTTCCCCCAAAACTCCCATCGGAGTGTCAGCCGAGAATGTGTACTCTGGTTGCTCGAGTGAGACTTGAACTTGAGTGCTGCACACTGAGTCACAGATGGCCTTGGGGTCCATTTCCCCTCGACTTAGATTGGACAGAAACGAAGAAATTTCGTTAAACAGATGTTTAATTTTTATCAGTCTCTATTGTAATTAAATGTGTCTGTATAAATGATTTGTAGTTTCTTTTTATTTGTGTTCTAGCTCCTGGCCTTTTACTATAGATAGCATTGTTCAACCCCTGGTGTTAACTGTAAAGAGACCCTTCGTATCTGTGGTAAGTTACACTTGTCTATCAAGTTAATGCAATACCTTCTTTTCATGCTGGGCCACACTGAAACCCTGCAGGATCTCTTGTCATTCTCCATGCTCATTCTTCACCCGTCCTCACCGCTTGGCTTGTACAGAATAGAAGATGTAGAGTAGTATGGACATGCATCTGGCAGAGAAGAGTTTCCATGACTTGATTGCATTGGCTTTTTTGAATGGAATGATTAATGCTGGCAAAGCCAGCATTTGTTGCCTGTCTCAAGTTTTCCTTGCCTTATTGAATCACGCTATTTCAGAGTGCAACTACTGTGATACTCCGGCTCAGATCCCTCACTGAAAGACCATTCTGTGCTTTCTAAACTCAGTTGGAGACCATCGTCACATGTGCTACAGTATTCTTCAACCTCTTCTGGATTTGTACTCAGTCAGCTGACGATTGCAAGGTTATCGTATGTGGCTGTCGGCTAAGAATGGGTTCATGGTCTAAATGGCCACTGGCAGTCACAGTGTTGGCTTATTTGAGGCACTGAAGTGTTGATGCCAATGAAACAAATCCAACATGTCATTGCCTTTTAAGGGTGCAGCTCATCATTTTGAACAGCAGTTGCTTCCTTTTTTGCCAACCGAGTATTGGAAGCCTGCTGTTTGTTCCCTCTGGATTTAGTTTGAGTGACTACTGTTTTGCTTAACCACAAGCATCATGCTACCCTGAAACTACACTGGGAGAAAAGAGAAGCAACTGAGGGAGGGTGAAGAGAAGTGACAGACTATTCAAAATATATTTGCTTTAATCAATCGGTGAAGGGCAGATAAAGTGGTAAAAGGTAGCTGTATTCTGAGATAGGTGGATCCCTGAATCCTAGCTGAACACCATTCTAAAAAGTCCCATCTGTTTAAAGTATGGATGAAATTACATAACAGAATATTCAAGTGTTGCTGAAAAATATGCAGTTAGTCCAAGCTTTTTATCTTGCTGCCATCAGGACAATTTGGAGAAATATCATTGTAAGAGGAAAATGATGTATGACAAGTAGCCTCTGGTAGAATAATTTATATGGAGAATACACCACTTAATGATGGCTGACGGTTAACTACCATGCTTTGCTTAAATTTTAAACAAGACAGGTTGACTCTGGTCAAGATATTGCCCCGCGAAATGAGCCAGAGAATGCTCATCAACTATTTAGTTGTGCTAAAACAGCCACAATGTTTAGATCACTATTTGTATTACATTTCTCTCTGCATGTTGTGCAAAATAGTGAACAAGCATTAAGACCATAATCTTTGGTCCTGAAAAGTGCCTAGTCTACCTCCAATTACCCTGAAAGGGTAAGGTACCTCAAAAGATCGAGTTGCTTCACGCACCTGCTATACAGTAACAATACAAGCAGTGTTTGCCACTATCCAGCTACTGCTACAAAGGCAAGAAAGAACAAGTGCACACACTGGTCCTGTTTTAATACAACAAAATAAATGGCAACCATCCTGTAGTTCATTCCTCAGGGCAATGTCTTGACTAATCAGTCAACCTGTCTCGTTTAAAACTTGAGCAAAGCTTGACTGTTAACTATCAACTATCATTAACTGGTGCGTTTCTATGTGACAATGCATCTACCATCAGAGTCCACTTGCCAACCAATCAGCACTCTCCTTTTCTACTGTGTAAATGTTGTTTTCCGTTTACTTTGGTATTTCTTGTGAATTGTCCTGATGTGTGCATTAGAGAAGTGCAACATGAAAAGTTTTTTTAAAAAAATGCACAGTCATACTCAACTTTTGTACTAAAAAACAACTGTAAGAATATTCTTCTTGTGTTTCTGTAAGTTCCTGTTGAGAGAATATAGTTTTGTGAAAGTAGGGTAAGTCGCTTGCGAAGTAGGTTCATTCTCAGTTGTGCACACACACACGCACATGCCTTTTAGAAGGGGCAATTGGACAGGGACCTGTTAACATAACAGGTATTGAAAATTTGTAGTGCAGAAAGAAGCCATTCAGTTCATCTTGTCTTTGCCTACCAAATAAAGAACTACCCGTCCTCATCCCATGTTGCAGCTCTTTCTCATAGCGTGTAGGTTATGGCATTTCAAGACAAAATCACAAAGAGACCAGTCATTTGGAGAGCAACAAGTAAATGCAATTGAGATAAGAAGCTGTATTCGCGCTTCAGATAGTAATAGGATGTGCCTAACTGTGAGTCTGTCCATCCCCTGGAATGGAATAACGAGCCTTATGTTCAAGTGCCTACCTGAAAATGATCTATTGGATAAAATAAGAGGGGGCTGGTGATTCCCTAAAGCCTGATATGAAGTACGTAACATTGCAGTAACTGGTAATGATTAATTTAAGTTTGAAATTGACAGAAACATTCATGGAAAATATGTTGAGAATGCATGGGATGCCGGCCTTTATATCTAGAACATAAGGAGGTAGGAATCATTCAATACCAATGCAAAATCCTGGCCAGATGTCAGTGAAATATTGACAACCATTCTGGGCACCTCATCTTAGGATCTATATATTGGATGGGGAGGGAGTGCATTGTAAATTTATCATGGTGATGCCTAGGCTCCAAGGATTAAGTTATAACGAAGGATTACACAGACTTGGATGATGTTCCCTGAAATTTAAAAAGCTAGGTGGTTTGATAGAAATTTTCAAGCTGTTAAGGAGAAAGATGGAGTAGATAAAAATTGTTTCTGCTGTTTGGGGAGTCTAAGACTAGGCGGAACAGTCTGAAATTTAGAGCCAAACCTTTCTTTCAAGAATAAAATTAAGCAATACGTCTACATGCAAAGGCTGGCAGACATCTTCCTCAGTTTGCAGCTAATGGTAGATCAGTTGTTTAATCTAAAGCAGATGGATTTTTGTTAACCAGAAATTAAAGGATGTGGGATAAAATTAGTATATGGACTTCGGCCACAGATTAGCCATGATCTCATTGCGTGATGAAAAGGGCAGGAAGGGTTAAATGGCCCGCTCTTGAGAGGAAAGGAAGTACAATCGGCACTATTCCACCATTGTGTCTATGCCATTTACTAGTTAAGCAAAGCACTTTCTTCCCCTCGTGATGTCTCATTGGACTTTGATTAATTCCAGTGCCCAATTCATGTTCTATATCCCATTATTGTGAACAGTACCTGAAGGAGTGGAAGAGAAGAACGTTGGGGCATGCAAGCATAACACTAAATGCAGATGGGTAGCCTGGAAATAAGCATTTTATGTGAATTCTGTCTCCATGATCTCATGAATAAAGGACTGATTCCCATTCTCCTTTTTAATGAGAACAAGCTGGATTTGAGATGGAACTGTACATGGTCATGTCTTTCGTATCTTGACCCCTCCCAGTTCTTGGTTGATACTTTCCAGCCTTGTAAAGGTAGCAAAAAGGATTCTCACTTGTAAAAGTTATGCTGTTGTTTCCCCCCTTTCTCCCTTAGAATGTCGTCGAGTCCTCTTGGGTTACCGAGCTGCTGTGGATGTTTTTTATTCCCTTCACCGTATACCAAGTAAGGTAGTAACTGTCGCTAACTATCACTGGGGGTACAATCGGTAAGGTTGAGTGAACTTGCTCATGTTTGGCTGACTCTATGATAAGCCCATTGCTTTTCCCCACCTCTATGTTGCATGTGTGATTGCAGTGTCCAGTGATAATGTTGAAAGCAACACTGTAGTGTTTCTTGGGAAACTGCTTGTTGGCTTAGGAATCCTCATCTATTTCCTTTGTTTTAGGATCTGTCCTTGAACTTCAACAGAGCTATCTGTTCCAGTGTAATGTGATCACGAATATTATAAGTGTGAAGAGGCCATTCCAGCCATCCGACTCCTTCCACCATCTATATCCTTGTAATTCTGCCAAGCTACAAACACATAGAAAATAGGAGCAGGTGTAGGCCGTTTGGCCATTCAAGCCCTCTCCACCATTTAATATTCATAGCTGATCATCATATTATGTACCTTGTTTCCACTTTTGACCCCATATCCTTCGAACCTTTTAGCTCTAACAGCTATATCTCATTCCATAGTTGCAACTCCATACCCCATCCCAACAAATATTGGTCTATCTCCATTACAAAGATGCTGATGTACTCCTAAATAACTCCAGGTGTGGGCAGAGGTCACAGGAAAGTCCATTTCAGTGACTTGTCTGTGAAACCGGAGGTGTGGCTACACTACGTTTTTTTAAAGGGTTAATCTTGCTGACAAATCTTACTCCTTCAGTGAATCTTCCTGCACTTAACTAATTTGTGGCTAAAGCTTTGTGATGTTGAAATCATCGCATAGAAAGAGGATCATTTGAAATTTTATTCGGTTCCTACATGCAAATGTTCTGTTGCATCTTATTTATTTTATTTTGGCCTCAAAGGAAGAAGTCCATTCATTGTTTATAATGTTAAACTGGCAAGCCAGATATTGCAAGTTTAAATGTCACAATCACATGTGGTTCAGTCCCTTGGACCCACTGCACCATTCATTTGGTACATTGTAAGAGGTTTGGGCCATTCATCTCCTCAGCAATAATTTGCCAACTTGATGAGATCATGGCTGATCAGGACATCAACTCCAATTCTGTTCAATATTGTGTTGCCCTGTGTAAGGAAGTTACCATAAAAGCTGCCAGGTTATTGTAAAGCCCCAACATTTTTTCCCCAAATATACTCCAGTACCTGGACTGTAGTACCACACGATACGGCTGTCTCTTTATGATCTCAAGTGGAGCAGTATACAATACTGTCTTGTCAGAACATATTGTCCAAATAATCAAGTGTTAGTAGTAACACACTTGCCTCCTCAGTTAGGGTTGTGGCCTCGAGCTCCATGCCAGGAAATGAGCTGTACCTGACACTAGCCTATCAAAGCTATCACCCCTGGAGGCTCCATCATACCTCTCAAGTAGAAGGAAAAGAGCACGGACGCCTTCTGGAGTACCGGTCAATCCTGTACCTTAAGCATCAAGTCCAGAATGTCTCACATCACATTGCTGTTTGTGAAACTTCGACTCAGTTAAGCACTTTTGTAATGCCATGAAAGAAATTTAATTATTAAAAAAAAGTTTTTTTTTTCCTTTTCTGTAACAGAACTTGTACTAATTCTGCCTACTTCAGTCAGATATGAGTTAAGAAACCACAGAAATTCAGTATGGAATAAAGCACATTTAAAGTATTTCCTTGTTTCTCTGTGGATGAGAAAAACGTCCCTGTAAATTTCTGAGTGACAGTCTCCCTCCTTTCCTGCAGACGGTGATTATGTTGGAGCACCAGATCATCAGTCTCTTAAAACCTTTTAATTTCTACCAATTGCCACTTTGAAGCTAACTGTCTGTTCTGCCAGCTTGTAAGAAAAATGCAAAGCTAATCCTTTGTGCTGTCCTTATAGTAACCTTCCCATATTTACCTTATTTTGCTGCAAATGCATTTAATTTTCCTTTAAAAATGCAGCGGTCACTGCCTCAACTCTTCCCTATAGTCAAATCTTCAATGCTCTATGTGAGCATTTCTTCTGAATTCCCTCTTCACATTTTGTCAATTTCCCAATTTAAAATGGTCATAATTTTAAAAGAATCTCTTAAGTCTTCTACTTTTAATTGAAATTATCTTCACTCATACATTCTAAATCTAGTTTTCGCCTGGCGTCATTCATGTCAAGCTGCACAACAGGCTCAATGCTTTTTATCTTTTCTCCAGTTGAGCACCTAAAAAGCCAGTGCTCAGTCGTAACCTGATGCAGGTTTTATACAAACTTAGCAACACTTCTTGCTCTTGTACCTTTGTGTCCAGGTTTATAAGACCGAGCATGCTTTTGCATTATCTTCCTTTTTGGTCTAGTAGCAGAGTGGTTGCAGTCCTGAACTCGGGAAGCGAGAGGTCAATCTCTCAATAGCAAATTGGGGAATTTAATTCAATAAATCTGCTAACTAATGACCACGACTATGCCAGCTTGTTGAAAACTGTTCACCAGTGTTCTTCAGAGATGGAAACTCACCTTCTTAGCCTGTCTAATCTGCGTATGATTCCAGATCCGCACTGTGTGATAAGTCTGGGTGACTTCAGGTCAAGCAATGATGGACAATGTTTAATAACCACACCATTATATAAAAAAACTCTGTCTCTTCATCTACTCTAACTGCGTTTTGATTTTATTTCTTTCCGTGCGTGTACTCCCTCATACTAATCCAGTTTAAAGTTCACCTGTCTCCCTGTTACTTCAATGTTCAGAAGTTAGTTTTTGCCAGTGAATGATAAGTTATGAGTAGGTGTTGTAGTCCAGTTCTCGCTGCCTCTGCTACTTTTTGACCATTGTCAGGACTGAGGTCAGTTACAAACACACTTGAACTGAGATTGGCTAAATCAGTGTCAGTCAAAACCGTGACCTACCCTGTCTATGGACATCACTTGGGCAACATACAAATCAGTCAGCAATTTAATCTTGCTTTACAGAACTGTCCAACAGTGGTTTTGGCAATAACCAGCTTTAGGAATATCAGCTATCAAAGTATTTTAGGTTGGAAAGCAAAACTTTGGTATGAATTTCATTGCAATTGGTTGCAGTATTCCTATCCTTCCTTATAGTTGTGCGTTTCTTGGTTTTTGTAGGTGGCTGCCCAGCATGTCGCAAATGGATGAAGAATCAGAGGAAGATTTTACCGTCAGAGTCCAGGAGGTAAGTTGGTTGGTGATCAATATCTTCCACCAGCTGCCCAAGAATTGAATTATGACTCTTGGTTTTCAGCAGTGCCTACAATGTGAACTTGGAAGTTAGAATGCATTAGATAAATCCTAGTCCTTTCGATGATTCCAAAAGACTGCTGTCACTTATTTATCCAAAACATTCATCCTAAGGCTACATAGAAAGCAATCGTGCAGCCCTGCACCTAGAGCTTTGCAAGAATTGTGAGTGATGCTTATCCAGGTTTGTACATGGTGCTGTGCCTTGAAGCTTTCTAAAGCTCCTTTTGAGTTTTGCTTTCCTTTTATTTATTTTGTTTTCTATTGCCAGTTAAATCAATTCTGACTTTGACTATAATTAGTTGTTCTATTTTTATCTGCTCACTAAAAGTAGTGATTTAGAATAATAAGTCCATATGGGAGCAAGGAAGTCTTAATGTAACTCTGCAGGGCCTTGGTGAGACCATACCTAGTAGTACACTGCTGAGTTTTGGTCACCTTACCTAAGAAAAGATATACTTGCCACAGCGGGAATTCAGCAAAGTTTCACAGGTCTGATTCCTGGAATGACAAGTTTGTGTATGAGGTGAGATTGGATCATCTAGGCCTTTGTTCTCTGGTGTCTCATTGAAACAGGTAAAATTCAAATAGGGCAGTACAGACTGAATGCTGAGATGATGTTTCCCTGCCCAGGAAGTATTTCCAAACAAGGGGTTGTGGTCTTCGGGCACACGGTGAGCCTTTTTGGATTAAAGTAGGGAGCAGTTTCTTCACACGAAACCTGTTGAATTTTCTCCCACAGAAGGCTATGGCAGCTGGTACACTGAATGTATTTAAGAAAAAAAATAATTTTCTAGAGGCCTATGGTGTCAAGGAATATGTGAAGAGAACTGGAGTATTACATTGAGATAGAGTATGAGCCATGATTATGTGGAATGGTGGAATGGGTTCAGTGGACTGAGTGCTCTACTGCTCCCATTTTCTCTGTTTCTAAAACAAATAAAATACTGGGTTCATTTCTGGGGAGGTAAATTGTAAATTTGTGCAGAACCTTGGTGAATGCATAGTTTTGGTTTCCATTGTATAAAAAGGACCTGGAGGTATTAGAGAAAGTGCAAAAGGGATTACCAGAATGGTATGTCTAACTTCTAAATTCTGTTTCAGGAAAACCTAGGCAGGCTGATAATCTTTTCTCTAGAAAAAGAGGAAGCTGAGGGACGACAATGTTAGAAGCCTTTAAGATTATGAAGTATCTGAAAGATAGACAGCGATAATATGTTTCCACTCCCAAATGAGACTAGAGTTTGGAATGTAATCAATTTAAGATAATCATAAACTGATCCAACAGAAAATTCAGGAGAAATTTCTTTCCTCCTGGAGTAATTGATGCATTTAAGGGGCACGTAGGTTGACACAAAGGAGAAAGATGTGGAAGGATATTTGTTTGTAGGGTGAAATGAAGCATGTTGGTGAAGGCTTTTGTTAAGTAGAAACACCACAATTTTGATTTTTGTTTTAAATTCATTCATTGGATGTGGGTGTTTCTTGTATATTGTCCATCTTTATACTGATACCTCAGATAGCTAACTCCACTTGTCTCACTGATTTTCATTGGCCCAGGTTCACCCACAGATGGCTGATGTATAAAATTATTTTTCTTTTAAATCTTACCAACTCCTTGTTCCTTTTGTCCCTGTAATCGCCTTCACTCTAGCTTTCTTAGTTCTTCCAACTCTGACCTAATGTTCACCCTTCACTTAAGGTGATTGGCAAAAGAACCAGAAGCAGCATAAGAAGCTAAAAACATTTATGCAGCAAGTTGTTACAGGAATGCATTACCTGAAAGGTTGCTCGAAGCAGATTCAACTTCAATAGAGAATTGGATAAATGCTTGAAAAGAAATAAATTAGAGTTATGGGGAGCAAGCATGAGACAGGGACTAATTAGAGAGCTCAGCACTAGCATTACAAGTTGTCTGGCTTCATTCTGTATTGTTTGTCATTCTGTGATTCTAAAAAAAATCAAGCTTACATTGTCTATTTGTTCTGCAGTTTTGTTTCCTGGAAAGAGTTTATTCAATAACAGTTGATACAGGCTGTATAAATAGCATTCAGTTCGTCGCCATCTATGCTGCCAAGTGTAATTGTAATTTCTTCTTAGCATTTAGCTACAGAGCTCGGTGTTTTGTCGACTCAGCATACCAAGTCTGATAAAGTGGAATACCTCAAAAGAATGAAGCACATGGCACCACAAGCAACCGTTTCAGGTCAGGTTTGTGTTCTGGCTGCTTCAATTAATTAGCATGTACAGTGTGGCTGTTTTAATGCTGCAGGAAAGTCCCTTGTGCGTAGAAAATAGAAGTCAAGTTATAATAAGTTTGCAAAGTCACTTACTCAATGCCTGAGAGGTAAAGTTGCAGCATTAACGATAATCTTTGTAAAAGATAGAGAAGCAATTTAATCAGGGGGTGTTGGGATATAGGAACAGAGAAACGCCATTTTGCCCCTATTCCACATTTATTGCTGATCTGTGATCTGAATCTCTACATTGGTCTTTTCCCTCATGAAGTTCCTTAGGTTACTTTAAAGTAGCAATAACTTGATGGAAATACTTTATTTTTCTGATTTTAGTTCAGCAAATATTTTCCGAGTGGGGTCGCATTTCAATTTTTCTCTCACCTGGGAGACCGATGAGCAGATTTCAGAAATGTAGCATTTAAAATGGCAGAAAACACCAACTTCAGAAAAATAAATGAGTAATTAATAAAAATGGCCACTGGAGTGACTGGGCCTTGATGCCACGATGGACCATTTTGACTGCCTCCTTCACTGGCCTGGCAGCTATACAGGGGGAGGAAAAAAACTGCCTACTGCTTGACTCACTCTCCAGCTCAGAGCTTCTTGTCCCCAGAGCCCAACCAGCGCCTCTAAGCTCTACAGTGAATGTATCAGCATTAGGAGGAAAACAGTCTCTGATCAGAAGAGCATCTCCTTGCTGAAGCTTCTCTACAGCTGTCGCGTTCTGGATAGAACCACTGGGTAGTGTAACCACTACGTTTGTGACCAGCGGGCTGTCTGTGACAAACCTGTGTCGTATTGTGAGTGCGTGAGAATTTGGATCTAACTGGAGGAGACATCTAAAATTCAGGGCTCATATCATTTTATTTCAGCAGCCAACAGTCAGCCGTCTGGAACACGAGCTCGGACCTTCCTCCCAGGGCTCAGCATTAGCAGTTTGTCTGCAGAGGATGTTCGGATCACAGGAATGGCCAAGCAAGTCAAAGAGGTGCTGCCTCACATCCCACTCGGTGTCATTAAGATGGATTTAGGTAGGATATCAGTTTATTTTTCTTCCCCTTGCCCCAATATCTTTTTCTGATTTTCATGTTATAATTTCCCATCATTCTCCCATGTGAGAAGGGAGAGTGCAGTAAATTTCAGACACTGGGGGTATTGCTGATGTCACCGGGCGAATAATCCACAGACCAAAGCTAACAGTTTGGCTACATGGATTCATATTCCACCATTGCAGCCAGTGAAATTTAAGTTCGGCTGATAAATCTGGAATATAAATGGTTAGCATGGCAACTATCATTGATTGCTATTAAAAAGAAAAAAAATCTGCTTCACGAAAATCCTTTAGTGCGGGGAACCTCAAACCAAAATGCTGCAGATGCTAGAGATATGAAATAAAAACATGAAGTGGGTCAGATATCTGGCCAGAATATGAAGACTGGCAGAGAATGTTTAAACAGTTCAAAAACAGAAATTGCTGGAAAAACTCAGCAGGTCTGGCAGCATCTGTGGAGAGAAAACAGAGTTAACATTTTGGGTACAGTGACCCTTCTTCAGTTCTTTAACTTTTTTTTTCTAAATGGTTAATCTGTCCAAATAAATTAGAACAAGAGAGAAAGCCAGCTAGAAACGTCAAACAGATAGCAAGAGTTTCTACAGATACCGAAAAGGAAACGAGTCTTCTTGGAAGTAAGAATGGGAAGTTAATAGTAGATAATAAAGAAATGGCAAATGTAATGACTAAATATTTTACTCTGTCTTCATGATAAAGCATACAAATACATAAATCAGAGGATTGAAAGTAGAAAGGAACTTGGTGATATCATCATCACTAGGGAACCAGTACTGAACAAACTGATGGAGCTGCAGTATCCAAGGACTTCAGCTTAAGGTTTTAAAAGAGTTAGCTAATGAGATAGTAGATGCATAATGGGGGACAATGACCTAGTGCTATTATTGCGAGAGTATTGAGCCTGAGACCCAGGACGCGGGTTTGAATCCTGCCATGGTAGGTGGTGCAATTTGAATTCAATAAAAATCCGGAACTAAAAGTCAAATGATGACTGTTGTTGATTGTTGGAAAAACCCATCTGGTTGACTAACGTCTTTTAGGGAAGGAAACTGCTGTCATTTACCTGGTCTGGTTTACATGTGACTCCAGACCCACAGCAATGGTTGACTCTTAATTGCCCTCTGAAATGACCCAGCGTGTTACTCAGTTCTAACAATTGTTAGAAAGTCTCAAAAAAAATGAAACCAGATCCACCACCTGGCATTTGCCTAGGCACCAGAACTGAGAACAAACAAAAACAGCCCCATTGAACCTGCAAGCTCTTCTTTACTAATAGCTGGAAGCTAGGACTAAAATTGGGAGAGTGGTCTGACAGACTCATCAAACAACAGCCTAACATCTGTAATGTATGAGCCCATGAATATAACTTTGTTCCATGCACTACCATTACCATCCTTGAATATATGCAGTCACACCAGCTGGACAGACACAGCAGAGATGGCAGCGCAGTGGTATGCAGTTGGTTGGGAGTTGCCCTCGGAGTCCTCAACATTTACTCTGGATGCAGAGTCTCAAAGCAACAGGTTAAATGTGGGCAAGGAAATCACCTGATTGCCTCGTACCATCCTCCAGTTGTTGAACAACAGTTGAAGAAAACCCTGATGCCCCCTGGGTAGGGGATTTCAGTAGTTTTAGGCAATCAAAACCACCTAGTGTAGTTTTGCAGTAGCACTACTGAATGAACTGGTCAAGTTCTAAAAGGCGTAGCTACCATACTGGATTTGTGGCAGATGTGAGAGAACCAAAAGGAGGGAAAAACATATTTGACCTCATCCTCACCAATCTACCAGCTATAGATGCATCTGTCCATGACAGTATCAATAAGAGTGACCACTGCATGTTCCTTGAGATGAAGTCCTGCCTTCCCATTGAGAATAGTCTCCATCATGTTGCGTAGCACTATCACTGTGCTTTGAATGTGTCTAGCAACTCTAGGCCAGGCATCCCATGAGGCACCGTGGGCTATCAACAGCAGCAGAATTGTACTGCAACACAATCTGAAATCTCATGGCCTAGCATGTCCCCCACTCAACCATTACCATCAAGCCAGAGGATCAACCCTGGTTAAATGGAGAGTGCAGGAGAGAATGTCAGGAGCAGTTCCATGCATAGCTAAAAATGAGATGTCAACATGGTGAACCTACCAAGCAGGACTACTTGTGTGCCAAACAGCATAAGCAGCAAGTGATAGAGCTGAGCAATCCCACAACCAACAGATCAGATCTAAGCTCTGATATCCTGCCAAACCCAGTCGCAAATGATGTTGGACAATGAAAATGCTCACTGGTGGAAGACGCTCGACAAATATCCCCATCCTCAGTGATGAAAGAGCCTAGCATATCTGTGTAAAAGATAAGACTGAAGCATTCTCAATCATTTTTAGCCAGAAGTACCAAATGGATGATCAATTTTGGCCTTCTCCTGACATCCCCAGCATCACAGATGCTGATCTTTTGCCAAGTTACTCTAGTATGGCTTCAACACTGGCATCTACCTGACAATGTGGAAAGTTGTCCAGGTATGCCCTGTACACACACACCAGGTCCAATCTAGCCCATCAGTGGACTCTTAATCACCAGCAAAGTAACAGAAGTTGCCATTATCAGTGCTATCAAGCAGCATCTGCTCAGTAGTAACTGATCGTTGATACTCAGTTTTGGTTCTGTCAAAAACAAAAGCAGAAATTGTTGGAAAAACTCAGCAGGTTTGGCAGCATCTGTGGAGAGAAAGCAGAGTTAACTTTCCAGTTCCAGTGACCCTTCTTCAGAAATGATTGTAGCTAGGAAAATGGTGGTATGTATGTTGAAGATGGTGGGGGAGATGCAGCCAGAGAGAGAGGGTTGGTCAGATAAAGAAGTGGGTAAAGATGAGCCTGGGAGAATGAATAGCAGCTAATGGGGACAATGGGTTTATTTGTAGTACCAGCCCATGTGATGACAAGGCCTGGAGTGTGGGAGTTGGTTAAGGGTTTGGGAGAAGGTGCTCAGGCCCTAAAATTATTGAACTTAATATTGAGTCCAGAAGGCTGCAGGGTTCCCAAGTGGAAAATGAAATAGTGTTCTTCCAGCTTGCACTGAACTTCTCTGGAGCACTGTAGCAAACCCGGGACAGAGCTGTCAGCCAGGGAACATGGTGTGTTGAAATGACAGGCAACTGGAAGCTCAGTCATTTTCGGGGACAGAGCATATGTATTCTGCTGTTGCCCAGTCTGGTCTTCGTCTTCCCGATTGTAGAGGAGACCACAGTGAGCAGCGAGGTGGGGATATTCACCGATGGTTGCTTAATGGTCAGTACCATTTGTGACTCCTCAAATACTGACACAGTCCATGTTCACACTGATTCCTGGTACAGCAGGACTAATGTACAAGGAGACTGAATCGGTCAGCACTATATTCACTAGAGTTTAATGAGGTGAGGTTCTCATAGAAACCTATAACATTCCAACAGGGTTTGACAGGGAAGATGCAGGAAGGGTGGTCTTGATGACCAAGGTTTCTAGAATCAGGGGTCGCAGTCTAAGGATCGGGGGTAGGCCTTTTAGGCCAGAGGTGAGGAGAAATGTCTTCACCCATCAAGTGGTGAGCTTATGGAATTCTCTGCCACAGGAAACTGTTGAGGCCCAAACATTGAAGACTTTCTTGAAAGATGTATGCTGATTGGAATATTGAGTTCTGGTTCCAGAAGCCTTGGAGGCCTGTGCACCTGAAGGAAAATTGGAGGGAACACTGGTGAGCTGAATGCTTTTGAATGATATGTTCACCATCTACAGTCCAGATACTGGACAAATAATCCAGGCTCTTATGCCCATAGTACTATTTCAGGGAGTGCCATCTTTCAAGTGAGACATGACCGAAGGCCTGCCTGCCTGCTTCAAACAGTGGTGGAGTTCTCCCAGTGTCCTAGCCAATGTTTATGCTTCTGTCAACATCGCAAAAAAGCCAAAGATGATCTATCTTTGTGACTTTGCTCTTTTTAAGGCTTCGTTGTGCACAGATTGATTGCTACATTTCCTTCATTGTAACAGTGCTTCTCTCGTTGTAAAATACTTTCAGAAAATTTTTTTGTGGGTTGAATGCCACTGGCAAGACCAGCATTTGTTAGTAATGTCCATAATGTTCACTGCCTATTTTCTGCCATTGGAGGGCGCTGTGAATTTACATTATGTGGTGTGAAAATCAGTGGAAAGAAGAGGGTTCCCTGTGTTGCTTCAGTAAAGATGCAGGTCCTTCGCTCATTACATTGCTTCTCAGTTACCTCTTTGGCTGCAACATTGAAAGTCAGTCCACAGGCGCAGACTTGTTTTGTTTTTCTTTGGTGTGCAGATTTTTGAAGGTGCCTAGACAGGTTAACAAAAGCCAATGAGATTGTGGACTTTGTAAGCGGAGGCATAGAGTAGAAACGCAAGGAGGTTGTGCTCTACATATATGAAACATTAGGTCAACTCCAGTTAGAGTATTATATGCTTTAAATGGGCCACATATTTTAGGAAGTGCATGAAATCTTTTAAGAATGCAAAGCAGATAGAGAAGATGTGCCTTTGTTACCATCCGTACATGCTCTTGAACTGAGCAGCTTGCTGAGCCTTCTCAGAGTTGAAAATCAATCTCATTGCGAGTGACATCTAGGCCAGACCAGATAAGGATGGCACATTTGCTTTCTAAATGATCACTGGTGAGCCAGCTGGGTTTTTACAGCAATCGCTGTTAGTTTCACAGCCACTATTGCTGAGACCAGCATTTCGTTCCAAATTATGAATTAAATTCAAATTCCATGGTAGGATTTGGATCCACCTCCCCTGGATTATATAAAGTAATATTACCACTACGCCACCATTTTCCAATATCAACAACTGTGGTATTTATATAGGTCTTTAATGTATTAATGCATCCTTAACAGCAATACCTGTGTTCAACCGAGTGAATAAAAACTGAAAGAACTGTGGATGCTGTAAATCAGGAACAAAAACAGAGGTTGCTGGAAAAGCTCAGCAGGTCTGGCAGCGTCTGTGAAGAGAAAATCAGAGTTAACGTTTCGGGTCCGGTGACCCTTCCTCAGAACTTGGAAGGAGGTAGAAGCGAGCTGTGCGGGGCTGGGGGACTATCAGCTTGAAAGTAGAGGGGTGAAGATCACCGAATGAAATGAGATCAGGTACCGATATAGATACAAGGTTTGTTCTGAGGAAGGGTCACCGTACCCGAAAATGTTAATTCTGATTTTTTTTTTTACAGATGCTGCCAGACCTGCTGAGCTTTTCCAGTAACTTCGTCTTTGTTCAACTTTGTTCGTGAACCTTTTCTGGACTGTGTCCAATGCCAGGATATCTTTCCTTGGATAAGGGGACCAAAACTATTCACAGTTGTCAAGATATGATCCAACTGATGCCTTACATAGAGTTAGCAAGACCTCCCTGTTTTTGTACTCTATTCCATTTGGAAAAAAAAAGACCATCTGTCCATTTGCCTTCCCTTTTACTCATGGAACCTTGATGCCAGCTTCTGTGATTCACATGAGGACCCTGAAGTCCCTCTTTGTTGCAACTTACTCCAGCGTTTCTCCATTTACATTTTCGTTCAGCTCTAGAATTAATCCTGTTAAAGCACAAGACCTCACACTTTCACATTTTATTCCATCTGTCATGTTTTTGCCCATTCACCTGACTTGTCTATATCCCTCTGCAGACTTTATGTCATCTTTCTCCTTTGCCTTCCATCTATTTTTGTGTAATCTACAAATTTTGCTATAGTACTATTTACTTTCCTCATTCAAGTCATTAATGCATGTTAGAAATAATTGTGGTCCAGCTCTGATCGTTTTGGCATTCCACTAGTTACAGGTTGCCATTATGAAAATAAAGTCCAAAGGTAAGAGAGGATTTGACATCAGGAAAATGTTAGTTTACATGTAGGTGTTGATTCTTACCTTCATAGACTGGGTGATAGTTTGGTCAGTCAGATTGCCCATTCTTTAAAGGACGTGTTCCTTTTTTATTCTGTTGATCTTAATTATGATGAAAATATTATAGAATATTTGAAGGATGAGTGATCTGATCCTTTAGTTTACAACCTAGGTGGGTGAAGATAAATATTTACTTTGAAGAGAATTCAGTGTTTGGCATTCGTGAAGTATTGAGAGAATGCACTTGCAGAAGTTCAGCCCATTGAATTAATCTTTAAAATTAGGCCCCTGTCTGCCATGTCTGGAAGCTGTAAAAGATCCCATTGCATTTGTTTTAAAAGTGAGCAAAATGATGTTTTCCTGGTGACATTTATCCCACTAGTATCGCTTAAATGCTGATTATCTGGTCATTATAACTGGCTGTTTGCAGGAGATTGCTGTACCCAATTATTCCATTTACTTCATTACAACACTAACTAAATTTGAGAAATACTTCAGTTACTGTTAAGTGCTGTGGGATGACTGTAGGTGCAATATAAATGCCAGTTTATTTTACCGTCTTTAATAATTTGAAAATTGTGTGTATCTTTTGTTGAAATATTCTTTACAAGTCCTGTTGTTTTTATGCAGCATTTTTGAAGATTGATTTGAATTTTGAGCAGCCATGTCCTAAGCTTGTCCATTGACTTTGCTTTCCTTTCCACATCCTCAGTTAATACGAAGTGTGTTGACACGACCATCACAAATCTGCTGGAGGGAAGAGTACAGTTTACGCCAGAAGAAGTGTCAGTCAGTCCTTCCAGCATATCATTGTCAAATAAGCCTCACCTGGCACCTTGTAAATTAGTCACCCCTCTGAAGAAGACACCAAAGGACGCACCTACTACCAAGGTCAGTGCTGCATCGAGCGGTTTTAAATTAGGCAGCTCCTGACAATAACTCACATCTGTCTCTTGAGTACCTTTAAACTAAGGTTACTAGGTTCACTGAAGATCTCCCTAATGCCTGGCCTCTATTGACAAGGCACAAGCCAGGAGTGATGGAATACTCTCCACTTGGTTGGGTTATTGCATCTCCAAGAATGCTGAAGAAGTTTGACACCATCTAGAACAGTGCATCCAGCTTGATTATTTTCCAAACCACCATCTTCAGCATTTAATCCCTTCACTTATGACAGCAGTGTCTACTGTCTACAAGATGCACTGCAGTAACTTACCATGGCTCCTTAGACAGCACCTGCAACCTCTACTACCTAGCAGGAAAAGGGCAGCAGATACACTGGACCACCTGTAAGTTTCCCTCCAAGCAGTATGCCATCCTGACTTGCAAATATATCGCTGTTCCTTCACTATTGCCGGGTCGTAATCTTGGTGCTCCCTCACTAACAGCCGTGTCGGTGCACCGACACCATGTGAACTATAGTCTTACAAGAAGGTAGGTCATCCCGAGCTGTCCGGAGAAGGTAGTGATGGGCAATAAATGCTGGCCTAACCACTACCTCCCAGATCCCATGAATGAATTTTAAAAAACGATTGTTAGAATCTTAGGAAATGGAGAAGGAGGCCATTCATTGTATCTGTTAATATCATAGAAGTGCTACCCACAGTCTAACCCCAGTTTTCTTCTACAGTTGGCCAGAGTTGCCATTAATCTAGAATCTTTGCATCACTTTAAAATATACCTGATTGCACCCCATAAATCAAAAGCTGTTGTAACTCTCCATCAGTCTTTGATGAATATCCATTCATCTTTTTTTAAATGGACGTGTTCAGTACACAGTTAAGTGCTTCCTATAAGACTGTAATATTATTTCACTTACCTTGAGGAGGAAAGCAGGGTTATCAAGTTATTTTTCTAAAATGTGGCTTCACTGGAGACTTTCCATATCCACGTTAAATGGCTGTAAGATCATTTTTAGTATCAACATGTGACTTGTGAGGAAAGACTGGAAAATTGTGAATTTCCAGATTGCCAATGCATCCTCAAAGAAGGAATCTTAACAGAAGATGTAAAACTGTGCCATTCTGACCTCTTAAACGTTCTCAATTTTAACTGTTGTATCTTCAGCTACTGAGGTCCTAAGGTCTTGGATTCTCTCCTTAAACGAATCCACTTCTTTGCCTCTCTCTCAACCTTAATTTTTACCAAGTTTTTGCCATCTGACCTAATATATAAGAATATAAGAACTAGGAGCAGGAGTAGGCCATCTGGCCCCTCGAGCCTGCCCCGCCATTTAATAAGATCATGGCTGATCTTTTTGAGACTCAGCTCCATTTACCTGCCCACTCACCATAACCCTTAATTCCTTTACTGTTCAAAAATTTATCTAGCCTTGCCTTAAAAACATTCAGCGAGGTAGCTTCAACCGCTTCACTGGGCAGGGACTTCCACAGATTCACAACCCTTTGGGTGAAGAAGTTCCTCCTGACCTCAGTCCTACATCTGCTTCCCTTTATTTTGAGGCGATGCCCTCTAGTCCTAGTTTCACCTGCTAGCGGAAACAACCTCCCTGCCTCCACCTTATCTATTCCCTTCATAATCTTTTATGTTTCTATAAGATCTCCCCTCATTCATCTGAATTCCAATGAGTATAATCCCAGTCTACTCAGTCTCTCCTCATAATCCAACCCTCTCAACTCGAATGAACCAAGTGAATCTCCTCTGCACCCCCTCCAGTGCTAGTATATCTCTTCTCACATAAGGAGACCAAAACTGCACGCAGTACTCCAGGTGTGGCCTCACCAGAACCCTATACAGCTGCAGCATAGCCTCCCTGTTTTTAAACTCCATCCCTCTAGCAATGGCAGACAAAATTCAGTTTGCCTTTTTAATTACCTGCTGCACCTGCAATCCTACTTTTAGCAATTCATGCACAAGGACACCCAAGTCCCTCTGCACAGCAGCGTGCTGCAATTTTTTACCATTTAAAACATAGTCCATTTTCCTGTTATTCCTACCAAAATGGATGACCTCACACTTATCAACATTGTACTCCATCTGCCAGACCTTTGCCCACTCACTTAGACTATCTATATCCCTCTACAGACTTTCAGTGTCTTCTGCACACTTTGCTGTACCACTCACCTTAGTGTCATCTGCAAATTTTGACACACCACACTTAGTCCCCAACTCCAAATCATCTATGTAAATTGTAAACAATTGTAATATCTCCATTTATGGCTTGGTGTCCATTCTGGTTTGATAATACTCCTGTGAAGCAAATTGAAACATTTAAGTAGATGAAAGGTGTTATGTTAATACAGGTTGTGAAGATTGATTTTATTTTTACTTGGTACCAAAATACAGTAAATGGCTTTGTTTATGAGCAGTACAGGCAGATCACAGCAAGCAAAGGATGTACAGATCAAAAAGACTTACAAGCATACAGGTTACATTATTTGAAGCTAGAGTCCATTCAACAGTCTGATAACGGCCGGAAAGAAGCTGTTCCTGAACCTGCTCGTGCGTATGTTCAGGCTTCTGTATCTTCTGCCTGACGGAAGAGGTTGTAAGAGGTCATTACCAGGGTGGATGAGTCTTTGATGGTGTTGGCCACTTCTCTGTGGCAGTGAGCCGTGTAAATAGAGTCCACGTTGGATGGAAGGTTGGCTTCCGTGATGTTCTGGGCTGTGCACACCACCTTCTGTAGTTTCTTATGGTCCCTGGCAGAGCAGTTGCCATACCAGGCCATTATGCACCCGGACAGTTTGCTTTTAATGGTGCATCTGTAGAAGTTGGTGAGGGACCTTATGAACATGTCAAATTTCCTGAGCCGCCTGAGGAAGAAGAGGTGTTGTTGTGTGAAGAGTTTGGGGGAAGATAGAAAGAGGTAATAGGAACATGGGTAGGGTTTCAGCAGCCAATGTGCCAAAATGGGGTGGATTTGGGCGATGTCCCAGATGTGGATATAAACAAACTTGGTACAGGTATGTGGTCAGAAACTCATTCACCAAGAATGCAGTCAGGTGTTATGGCAACTCAGGCAGTTGCCAACAAGACAGGTAACGCTGTAGGCAAGGAAACATTTTGTGACAGGGACCAGAGATTTGAATCTTCCCAAAATAGCTGCTGGTACATGACATGATCTCACACCAAGGGGCAGTAAAAAGATTACCAGTGGTGGTGATGAGGTACAACTCTGTTGCATGAGCATACATTTGGAAACGGGCTGTATTTTTGGCTGATAGTCAGAGGCAACATACTGACAGTAAGAGGGGTTAAGGATGGCTCTTTGAAGGACGCCGAAGGATTGTCCTCACCCTCCAACTTGCCGTCAAGGCAAATTTGTCCTTCATTAATTAAGGAGACCAAAACTGTACACAGTACTTCAGCTTGGATCTTACCAAAGCCCCTGACAATTGCAAAAGACTTCTTTATTGTACAGATTGCAAGAAACAGTTACAAATGAGTAAAGACTATTTTAGGCCCAATAATAAAATATCAGCAATAGCTCTTTACACTTGCAATGGAATGGACTCCTGGTTAGAGTTGTGAGACCAAAAACCCTGGAAATGTTTAAGAAACAATTGGATTTGGCAATGCAATAATTCCAAGGAGAGGGTGAAGAGGAAATTTACCAGAATGATAACCAAAGATTAAGGACCTTCATTTCTGCAGAAAGTCTGCAGAAGCTGAGATTATTCACTTTGGATCAGAGAAGACCAAGGGCAGTTTTAGTTAATGAAGCTTGTAATTATGAGGGAGTAGTGGTTGGGACCAGGTGGACCTAGTTGAATACGAAGTTCTTGATTGGGGTTGTTGATCTGGGCCAATCAGGAAAGCTTTGGCTGACCAATATAACCAGGAAATTAGAATCTCCTAAATTGAGGACTGACTTTGTACTGTGTACTAGTAAATAAAGGGCGACTCGGTGACAGGACACCAGCCTCTGTGCAGCTATTTCACAGCGATTGGTTGAATAAATAAGTAAAAGTTTATTTCCACTGGCAGGTAACCAGAATCGATAGTTTGAAGATAACTGGCACAAGAATCTGAGAGGACAAAGTTTTTGTATGCTGCCTGTTATGATCTGGGCTCTATGTCTGACAGGGTGATGGAAACCGAGTTAGTAACATTTAAAGAGAATTGGGTAAATAATCAAAAACAAAATATTTTCAGGGCTCTTGGAAAATAAAGGGGAAGGGACTGGGAATGGATTCCAGACCTTTTCCAGAGTGACAGGACAAAATTGTTGGGAGGAAGGATGATGGGTGAAAAAAACTTGGTGCAAATTACAATTTGACAGATTTCAACTTGGCCATCAATATTTCCTCTCCAGAATTGCATCAAACCGCCCCAGTATCATCTGTATCCTTTCCACAATTCTGTTATTGTGTGAAAGGACCCATCAGTTCCTATGAATCTGTACATTTTTGTAGTTTAAGCCACACCTCATGCAGGAACTAGCACATTGATTGATTTAATTATTGACTTAATTTGCAGGTAAGGAAATCCGTGATTGCAATTGGAGTTCAATCTAGAACGTGTAGGATCAGGTACCTGTGATGGACAGAGTAACCATCCCTGAGCTTCATTATCATTTTTTTTGTTGTCTTTTCCAAAGCCTGTTGCTAAAATGAGGTTTGAGAAATCGCCAGTTGACAGACACCAGTCCCTACAAGAAAGGAAAGAAGCCCTATATGCCTACGCACGGAGGTCAGTACCGGTTTTATAAAAGTACAGTTGCCTTCACTTGCTTGTTCAAACTTTACCTACAGCTCCATAAAGTGTGCAGTGGAATGAATAGTTCTTCTCAAACATGGGCTTTGAGTCCACCCCAGATCATCAGACAAAATAATAAATCGGCTTTCATAAGCTTTATTTAAGGCATGCTTAACTAAAAAAAGCCCAATGCACTCTCCCAGCTTTCCTCCACACCCGTATGTATGCATTAGAATGTTTTTTTTAATTCTTTCATAGGATGTGGGTATCACTGGTATGGCCAGCATTTGTTGCCCATCTCTACTTGCCCTAGAACTGCCATTTCAGAGTTACCCATATTGCAACGCACCTGGAGTCACAAATAAGCCAGTCTAGTTAAGGGTGGCAGATTTTTTTCCCTGAAGGACATCAGTGAATTCGATGGAGTTTTGCAACAGCTGTCACGGTCAGTATTAAAATTAGCTTTCAGTTCCAGATTTATTCCTCAGGCCAAAGGATATTTCTCTGTCCTACAGACCTGAATGACTCCGTGATTGCACCAGCTGCCATGGTGATCTTAAACACTCATTTTCAGAGCATCAGCTTGGTCTCTAAATTGCTAGCCCCATGACACTGCCGCTACATCACCATCTCCCCCCAAAATGGACTTTGCAATTCCCACCACAGCAGGCTCATAGACTTCAGGATGATCTTTTGCCACAGTTTTTAAGTGCCAGTTAGACTCTCATGATTCCCCCATCACTATCAACATCCTTGGGGGATACCATCGACCAGAAACTCAGCTGGACTCGCCACGTAAACACAGTGGCTACAAGAGCAGGTCAGAGGCAAGGAATACTGCAGCAAGTAACTCATTTCCTGACTCCCCAAACCATCTACAAGGCACAAGTCAGGAATGCGATACTCCCCACTTGCATGGATGCGTGCAGCTCCAACAACGCTCAAGAAGCTTGACACCATCCAAGAGAAAGCAGCCCGCTTGATTGGCACCACATCCACAAGTATCTACTCCCTCCACCACTGACGCCCAGTCACAGTATTGTGTGCAATGTACAAGATGCACCACAGAAATTCAGCAATGATCCTTAGACAGCACCTTCGAAACTCATGACCACTTCCATCTCAAAGGACAAGGGCAGCAGATACATGGGAACACCACCACCTGCAGGTTCCCCTCCAAGTCACTCACCATCCAAACTTGGAAGTATACGTAGGAAATATATTGCTGTTCCTTTACTGTCGCTGGGTCAAAATCCTGGGATTCTCTTTAAGAGCATTGTGGGTCAACCTACAGCCCATGGACTGCAGTGGTTCAAGAAGGCAGCTCACCATCACCTACCCAATGGCAGCTAGATATGGTAATAAATGCTGGCCAGGCAACGATGCCCACGTCCCATGAGTTTAAAAAAAGTATTGCTAATTTTGGGTTGTGTGGATGCCTGGCTTTTGTCCTCCTGTACACCAACCTATCAAAGTTTGGCCTGGGCCAATTTGCTGTGGTAGTGGTGCATTAATGATGGAGGCAGGGAGGTTGTTTCCGCTAACAGGTGAAACTAGGGCTAGAGGGCATAGCCTCAAAATAAAGGGAAGCAGATGTAGGACTGAGGCCAGGAGGAACTTCTTCACCCAAAGGGTTGTGAATCTGTGGAATTCCCTGCCCAGTGAAGTGGTTGAAGCTTCTTTTTATGTGTGATCTTACTAGCTGAACAGCTGACCTGCCAGAAATAGCCTCAGTCCCTAACATGGTGGGAAGCATAGTGTTATTTGCTAGGTATAGAGCGCCAACAATTGCAGTTTGAATTGCTGTGCTGCTGGAGATCAGGAATAGTAGTTCATTTTTCAGAGCAGCCCTGTGAATCACAGTGGTCCATCCCAAGTGTTGTCCTTGTATAATCTGACCACCTTCTCCCTTCCTGAAACAGACGGTACATAGAGAAGCACGGATTACAGCTAGAGACCGAAGAGAGCCAGGCTGAAGAGCCTTGAGTACAGCTGTGGGAACCCAACACTCAAGACGTCACCTATCGTTTCCGTTCGTAGCTCGTGTAAATGGCACCTGAACAATATTTTTTTCTTTCTACTTTTTTGGTTTATTTTGTTTGAAAATTTTTCTCCAGTAATATGGGTCTGATTTTTAAGATGTTTTATGGTAAACTTTACAAATAAAATAATTGAGGGGAGGGAGGATGGAGAGTGCAGAGTGGTCTGCATGGCAATCATGCATGTTCATCTGTTGGATATTTCTAATATTCTGAAAAGAGATTGTGTCCCTTTTTTGGAGTCTTTATAAAGATCTTACAACTGATTTCTCTCCTGCCTTCACTCTCGTGTCCAATGAAAGCCTTTTGTTTTGCATGCAACTTCGCTATTTCTTCAGGTCTTACAGTAAATGTAAAGCAGGGCCATAAAAGGCAGTTGAGTATGTTTATTAGATGTACAAGTATGGCCACAAGTGAGTTCCACTGTCTGCTGCCTCTCAATCATCTTCCCCTGTTTGTTGTACAATAAGACCATTAGATATAGGAGCAGAATTAGGCTGTTTGGTCCATAACGTCTGCTCCACCATTCAATCGTGGCTGATGTTTCTCAACCCCATTCTCCTCCCTGTGATCTGTGATCCGTGATCCTTGATCCCCTTATCTATGTCCATCTTAAATACACTCAATGACTTGACCTCAACAGCCTTTTGTGGCCATGAGTTCCACAGATTCACCACCCTCTGGCTGAAGAAATTCCTCCTTGTCTCAGTTCGAAAGTGTCTTCCTTCCACTCTGAGGCTGTGGCCTCAGGTCTTAGTCTTTCCTACTGGTGGAAACATCTTCTCCACATCCACTCCATCTATACCTGTTGGTGTTCTGTGAATTTCAATGAGATCCTGCCTCATCCTCCTAAACTCCAGTACAAACCCAACGTCCTCAAACACTCCTCATGTGGCAAGCCCTTCATTCCTGGGATCATTCTTGTAAATCTCCTCTGGGCACCGTCCAAAGCAAGCACATTCTTCCTTAAATACGGGGCCCAAAACTAATCTCAATATTCCAAGTGCGGTTTGACCAGAGCATTCTACGTCAGCAGTACATCTTTGCTCTTGTGTTCAATCCCTCTTGAAATGAATGCTAACATTATATTTGCCTTCCTAACTGGAAACTGAACCTGCATATTAATGTTAAGAGAATCCTGAATTCGGACTCCCAAGACCCTTTATAGTCTACATCTCTTTTGTTCCCACCAAAGTTCTTCCTATTCCTCCTACCTCACACATTATCACATTGTATTCCATCCAGCACTTCTTTGCCTGTTCTCGTAACTTGTCCAAGTCCTGCAGCCTCCCCTTTCCAAACCTAGCCATAATGCCCTCACTTCCTTCATCTGGCTCTTAACGTATGACATGAATGAACCCCTACGGAACTCCACTAATCACTACCATCTGAAAAAGATCCCTTTACCCCCACTATCTGCTGGTCTGCTAATCTTCCATCTGTTATCAGCCCCTTACCTCTAACACCATGGGCTGTTATCTTATTTAACAGCCTCCTGTGCAGCACCTTGTCAAAGCCAAATAGATCATGTCTACTTTATCTAACTTGTTCATTACCTCCTCAAAAAATTCCAACAGATTTGTCAGACATGACATCCCCTTTGATGAATAGGTAAGGAAGAAGCAGCGGATGTGATGTAATAAATCAAAGAACTCCGGATGCCAGAGATCTGAAACAAAAAAAAAATTACTGGAAAATCTCAGTAGGTCTGCCAGCATTTGTGAAGAGAAGACAGTTAACGTTTCAAGTCTAGTGACCCTTCTTGCCATGTGTTGTATGGGCTTGTTTTGATACAGTTCCACAAAAGAGGCTAATGGGCAAAATTAAAGCGCGTGGGATTGGGGGTCATTTAATATCGTGGATCGGAAATTGGTCGACTGACCATTGAAACAAAAAGGGAGAAGAAATCGGTCTTTTATCAGGTGATGACTAATGGTGTACTGGAGGGGAATCAGTGTTTTGGTCCTCAGCTATTCATGACATAAAAAAATGACTTGGATGACGGAACTGCATTATTTCCAGATTTGCTGAAGAAACACCACTAGGTGAGGCTGTGATGAGAATTCAACCAGGACAATCTGGACGAATTAATTGCATGGGCAAACATGGCAGATGCAGGATAACTTGAATAAGTGTGAAGTTACCTACTTTCAGTGTGGAAAAAACAAAAATGAATCATTTAAGTGATAATATATTGGCAAGTGTGGATGTACAAAGGCGTCCAGGTAAGCAGACAGGTGCAGCAAGCAAATAGGAAGGTGGTGTATTGGCCTTCGTTGCAAGTGAATTTGAGTTTAAAAGTAGGGAAGTCTTACTGCAGTTATGCAGGGCCTTGGTGTGACCACAGCTGGAGTACTGCGTGCAAGTTTGATCTCCCTACCTAGGAGAGGCTATACTCACCATAGTGGGAGTGTAGCGAAAGTTCACTAGGTTGATACTGGGGATGGCAGGACTGTAAAATGAGGAGAGATTGGTTCAACTGAGCTTGTATTCATTAGACTTTAGAAGGATGAGTGAGGATCTGATTAATTTATATAAAATTTTAACAGGGATAGATAGACTAGATGCAAGAAGGATGTTTCTCATGGTTGAGCCTAGAACCAGGGAATCATCTAGAAAGGAATAGTTTGATTAGGGATAGTCAACACGGTTTTGTGAAGGGTAGGTCGTGCCTCACAAACCTTATTGAGTTCTTCGAGAAGGTGACCAAACGGGTGGATGAGGGTAAAGCGGTTGATGTGGTGTATTTGGATTTCAGTAAAGCGTTTGATAAGGTTCCCCATGGTAGGCTATTGCAGAAAATACGGAGGCATGGGATTGAGGGTGATTTAGCGGTTTGGATCAGAAATTGGCGAGCTGTAAGAAGACAGAGGGTGGTGGTTGATGGGAAATGTTCATCCTGGAGTTCAGTTA